TACATATGTATACTATACGCTTTTCTTTTTTTATTAGCCTACGCAACGTCTTTTATACCATTAACTTTACGATTATAAACAACATCCATTATTAGCTATCTGCTATTTAATGTAAAAGTTACGTACAATTTTGTAATTTTATTTATTACACAGAAATTACAAACTTAATCGAATCAGATAGAATAATTCGGTCGATTTTTATCAGGTGTCTCAGGAATTATGAAAGCTGTAAACACATAATAGCCTATAACCAATAGGCTGTATATTTTTAATGGGTATTACCGGGCCTTATCGGGCCTCTTTATAATACAGTATCCGGGCCTGGCCCGTTATTTTACAAGCCCGACCCGAACCTGGCCCAATTAATTACGGGCTTAAGAATTTGAGCCCAGGCCCGGCCCAAGCTCAACCCAACCTGCAAATTGCTGGGTTTGGCCCGGCCCGTTGCACACCCTACACATACACAACAAACTACAGCACTATGAATTTTTCTACTGGTTGGATATTCATACGTATATTGTAGCTCAAAGCCACTCCATAACTCTAAAAGTTTATCCATGATAGGTGCTAAGTAATAATTAATTTGGTATATTTGCACCTCCTTTGGACCAGATAAAAGTGCAAAAATTATGATATTATGAGGTTTAAAATATTCTTCCCTTGGTAAGTTACATATCACCCTATATAAAGTACCAATACTATATGTTGAATTTTTAAAAGGCTAAAACCAATCTAGATTTAATATAATACTTAAATAGCTATCAGCATTCTCATTACTAAAGAAAGGCCTTTATTAGTATCTTTGAATTTCTTTCAAATCTGGCCATCATATATATCAGCTAAAATATTTTTATCAATACTTCGATTTGGCTATTTTTATGATAAATTTTCAAACCCTTCACACTTATACATTAATTGTAATTAATCTTTAATTTTTATAGTTAGAAAAATCATTTGGGGTCTACATATCAACCCTTTTTTAATAGAAACTTTTTTTATTAATAAATTTTCACACAGTTGCCTTATTTTTGATATAGAATACAAAAAATATTCAATATATTGACATTTTATATAGATTAGATTTTGCTTCGGAGTTGTGGTAGTAAGCTCTTTAGGGTGATATAATTTGTAATATTTTGTATATACCGCATAGTTCTTAATACGAAGACATATTCCTAATACCTTTTGTGCCAAATTAAATGATGGTAGAAAAAATTCAAATTGTTTTTGATCAATTGAAATCAACAGGTATCTTATAAACTTAAATAAAATACTTGTAGCAACTTCAAAATACCGATAGTTTTGCTGGTAGCAAAGAATCTAAATAATTATCTGTTTAACCCTTTTTTTTATATTATTGTTATTTGTTTTGGTTAATATATCATCAGAAATATTAGACGTAGCAAATATTTGATTGTCTCCAAAATTTTGATATTCATCCTTTTCATTATCTATATTAGGGTCAAATAGTTCTAATTCATTATTATAATCAGGATCAAACGATTCTATTTCCTCTTCACTTGAAACACTATCAGATTCTTCAATATATAAAGCCAAATCTTTACTAAAAATTTCTTTTGCTTTGTTAATTTTAAGTATTAATAACTTCTTGTTTTATTATTTTTCTTTACAAGAAAAGAAGGATTGGATAAAATATCTGAAAGTGAAGGATCAGGTAGAATATCTAAAAAAGAATGATTGGACAAAATATCTGAAAGATCTATTTCTGTATCTTCTATTATATTATTATCAATGTTATTATCAAATAATCATCTTGATAATTCTAATGAAGTTTGGAACACTGTTGATGTTGATATAGCGAGTTGATAAAATTCATATTTTTTTAAATGCTTTTTTTTAGTTCTTGAATCTACTTCTTTTTTTTCTTTATATTTTTTGCAAACATATATGATAGATTTTTGTGTTTTAGAAATATCTTTGTATTCGATTGTTAAAAAAAATTTGTGTATTAGGTTGAAGGCACAGAAATTAGTAAATTAGAGATTATACATTATTATATAATATGTATAATAATAACAACAAATAAAATTAGAATATAAATTATAATATATTCTGTTGGTAGCAACTAACCACTAAACGCAAGTAAAGGTAGCTAAAAAAAGGTAAATGTGACTAAGTAGAACTAGCAAGATATCATTTTATGTTAATTAGTTATAAAATTTTAATCTCGATTATTAACAAAAAACGAACTTGGTTTTTGTTACTTTGTAACCAGTTTTTTAGAGAGATTCTCTGGATAATTTAATGAAACATAAGATCTGCAAAATACAAAAAATGGACAATTTATGAAAGCAAAACACTAGATAAATTTCACTAGCTCTATTGCAAAAAATCTATATGCTGATTCTTATACTATCAATCTAGTATATATTTAAAAGATATCAATAATTATGTATTTGCATTGCTAGATATTAATATACCCAGATTAGTGGAACAACCAAATTGTGAAAATAGAAAATAAAAATTAATCATATAAAACTCATTTTTGCATTCTAGTTAATGCTCTTGCAAATTTTGTTGTGTAAACATGACTGTATTGTAGCTTTTTTTTGATTTTAGTGATTATTAAAAATAAAAGATGCTGTAATGTTGCAAAATTGCCAGTATCAAATATTAAAACTATAATAAAATTGAATTATATAAAATGTTTTGAGTTATAAATTGCTTATGAAATCGTCATGAAGCCGTTTATTAAAAAATATGATAAAATTAAACATTTTGTTTGTATTTTATTAGTTAATTGTATACTTGCTTATTAGCATTTTGATATAGTGATACTGTATAATATATTTTTATTATTTAGTATAGTGATTACAATATTCACTAAAATTTTGGTCTATATGCTAATTTCTAATTTAAATTTTGATAACACCAATCTATCTGTGCTATTCAATAGAAAAAAGCGAACTTTAATCTACCAAAAAATGTTCACATGATATGATATCATGTAAAAGCCTCTTTTATTAAAAAATTAGCTATCATTACAATTTTATTAGAGTTCTATACTTGAAAATTGAACACTTTCATTCTTTCTAATTCAAATCAAACTTTTCAGTTGTCTTTTGTTCAAGAAAAAAAAAGTTTGCCTTTAGAAAATAAATATTCTTTCTAATTATTTTATAACTCTCTCTACTTAATCTTCTATAATAGTTTAATTATTTTAAAAATACTGATGATAATTTACTCACTGAAGTAGGAAGAACAGGGCTTTATCTGATAGAGGTACAGATTGACTTAGACGAGCATATTAAATTTTTTCATTATTGGATTGTTAATTTATCTATTAATAACTAATTTATTATTTCTATTCAAGAGAATTTCGACTCTACTAATTATTTCAAAATAGCAAAATATAAGTATTGTTATTTCAAATCTACTAAATTCTCTTCTACTCTTTTACTATTTCCTACAACCCCATTACTTCTAGGTTTTATTTAACAAGTTTTATCATATATCCATTTTAAGACTTTGTTATCTAACATTATTTCTCTTTTTCTTAATACCAAAGCCTTTGGTTTGCCAATTCAATCACATCATTCTAAAACCTGGTTACCTTATATGCGATTTTGAGTATTTACTTCTGGTTTTTGAGTTTAAATCACAGTTGATGCATCGATTAGATCGATCATTGATCAATCATGTTTCCTAGTCGCAGCTTATTTCTAGTATCATATTTATTATTTAGTCTTAACAAAAAAAAATTAAAAAAAATCAGAATTTTTTAACTATACTACTCAAGAATCTGATTTTTTTAATTTTTTTATTAGTGTAAAAGTCTTACTATTATAGGCTTCATAATGACATTAAAAATACTAAAATATTTTTAGCATTTAGTACTACTATTAATTACTGCAATTATATTGTATCTGAAGCCGATACTTTCCTGCTATACGTACATTAACATATTAGAATATTTGATTAAAAATGAAAATACTATAATCGAATTTATAGAAATAAAATATTCAGTAAGAATTAAAAACAATACGATATTAAATAAGTATTTGATCACACATTTTAAACAAAAAATTAATGATTTTTTATAGGTCTCTTTGTATTATAAAAATTTTAGACAAATTTGCTAATTAGCATGATTGCATGATAGCTAATGTAAAACTCCTATCAATATATATATTTTCATGAATCTGCAAAAACTATATTTATCTCGTTCAATCGACAATAACACATTCATATTAGCTGACCATATAGATACAGTATTTTCTTGATTTAATGAATCTTGTTAATAGTAAACACATATTTATAATGAAGTTAATCTTTAGCTTTTCTATTTAAATTAGTCTCAATATAACAATCTATTAATAAATTTAGATGCCCAAACTTGATACTAATATCCAGACACTTTATGCTGCAATCATCATCTACATTAAGTTCATCTTAGAATAAAAAGTTATTTAATATATATGTCAAAAAAAATATCGAGTATAGTATATAATTTATATATATGTACCATATATTGATTAAAATCATTCTGATTTAATTTATGATATTATGTCACAGACATGATCAAATGTTATAATATATATTTCATTAAAAAAAATATTGTTAGCAAATACCTTTGCATAATCAAATGTTATAATATATATTTATCTAAAAAATATTGTTAGCAAATACTATTAAAGCTTTAAAGATAAATTCGCAATTATTTTAAATAATTATTAGCTAAAATAACCAAATTATCAAAAAACTAAATACAATTTATTAAAGTTGAAATGATGCAAAATGAAAGTTCAAGTTCTGGTTTAGCTCTAGTTCAGATCAAAAAATTTCAACATCTATTAAGAAAAAAAGAAAATACCATGGCCATAGCCATCGTCATATAAACAAAAAACAAAAAGGTTCAATATTTTTGATTTGTATTGCAAACAAATATATATAAAATTTGCCATTATAATTTTTTCCTTTTTATAATTTCAGCCAATAGGTTAGAAAAAGATATTATTCAAATTAAAAAGGCTCTTAAGAAGTTATCAAATCACAATACGAGCAAAGATGATTTAGATTCTTTATTAGTTTCTCAATCACCAGGTCGACCAACTAAGATTATTAATGAAAGAAGCCTTAGAAATAGAGATGAGTTTCTGCCTATGTCCAAACAATACAAAAAAAGATTAATGGTAATGTTTTTGTTAAATATAAAATATTGGTTTGTTTTTTCTAAAAAAAATTTTTTTTTAATAGAATAAAATTGATGTAATAATTGCTGGGTTTGATGATTCTGAGATTTCTGATCCTGAAGAAACATGGATTTCACAAAAAAGATTATTTGTTAAGAATGTTTTTTCTAAAATCATAAAAGCGCTAGAAAGTCGATTCGAATGTACTCGTTCTGAAGTGCTAAATATTTTACAAGAAAAATATAAACATTAACAAGAGCATAATATTGATAAAAAAATGCTGTCAAGATTACAAAAAAATGATCATAGCATCATGTTAACCAAAGGAGGCAAGCAGTATATATACTATATTTAATAATTTGAACTTATATATTTCAATTGAAACTTATAAGTTCAATATTTAGTTTATAGATCTATATTTATTTAATTGAATATTTTTATTTATACATAGAAAAAAAAGTATCATCATATTGGTTTTAAACAATTAATAAAAACCAAGGATAGCTTCTGAAAAAAGTATTTTGATTCACGTGAATAGGTTAAAGTATTAACCAAAATCAAAAATATTTTAGATGATGCAAGATATCATTCTGATAAAATATCAAAAACTAATGAAGAATTATATCAAGAAGAAATAAATCAAGAAATCTGAGAAGAAAAAGTGGATACAAGACATCATATAATTAAGGTATTAGATCTTCTATGACAATCTAATAAAAGTATGTATAATAAATTGATTCCCTAATATTTCTTTTTCTATAATTATTTATTTACTATCATATTGTATGACAATATATATATTTTTATATAATTAATTTTTTTTTATTTTAGTTAAAAAACTTCTTCATTATGCAAAAAAAACTTCAAAAAAAAATCAACAAAAAAAGAAGAACATTATCGTTAGTGAAATAAAATTTATATTGATTCAAATCATATACTTCCAGAAGTCTATTCAGATTAGTGTAAGTCAATTATTTATAATAGTCACATTGATAATAATAATGATAGTGAAGGTAATAATGATGATGGAAGCAATAATGGTGATGACAGCTTTAGTGGTAAAGATACTGATAAAAATAGTCAACAAAATACTAAAGACAATAGTGATGATAGTGATGTTGAAGATAGTAATGATGACAAGGATAGTAGGAGTAGCGATAATAAAGAAACTAGTAGTGATAAAAAGAATAATGATAGCGATGATGA